AAACTTAGCTTTTTATTGGGTGGTGTGAAAAACTTAGTATAGCTATTTCCTCTTATTGTTATTATGCGTGCACTCAGTATGTTTTAGCTTCCGCAATTTCAGAATTAGCATGTTATTACATGAGACTTCATACGTATGCATGTATAATTCTTCTATCTCCATGTTACCTTTATATAACGGATTTGATTAGGTTACATGTATTTATTTACGTCTGCATTAAAAAGAGATAAGTTAATAGCATCCCGCGAGTCAGTATGAGTATTTTCGAAATTAAAAGTTAAGAGTTTTTCGAAAATAAAAAGCAAAAATTTTACTCTGATTTTATTATTTCTAGTATAAGTAGGCAGGGTGTTACACGTGCCCCTCCGAAACGAATAAAAATGCAAAAGTAATCAAGAAGAAATCTAAGGAAAAATAATTGGACAAAATTTCAATTTTTTTATTAAATTCAATGTTGTAAATAACAAGAGCATGCGCCTTTATATTGTCTTCAAATAATTCTAGTCCTAATCCAACTAAATCTCTTAATAAAGCAATAAAATATTTAAAGTCCTAAACAATCTAGATGAAATGACACGGAAACTAAAGATCTAAAGGAATCCGAGAAGATCTTGTCTTGCGCTCCAAGCATAGGATCCCTTGCCACCTTGGACTCCCACCCGCGCGCCTTGCCGCATCCCTCGAGGACTAAGGCTACGCTTGTCGCGCGTGCACCGTCGTCACGTGTATCTCCCGCGTCTTTGTCCTTCGTGGCTGTCTCCCGCACGTCACCCTCGCATGGCCCTTCTCGGAGATCGCCTATGCACGCGCCTTGGCACTCGATCGCGTGCTCGTACGTCCCCGGTCCTTTCGCGACCTGCTCCTGCATGCTATTGTTGTGCATGTCGCCTCGTGCGCCATCACCCGAGTCAATGGTATTAACCTCTCCGGCCCAGCGCACCATCCTCCTGCGCGCATGTGAGGCGCGACTTGAGGCATTCTTGAGTCTCCGTGCCACATCCGCATCATTCCCGTCCCCTTCAAGTACGTCCTTGTCCTCATAGGCAAAAGTCAGGAATTACTCGCGTATTTTGTCTAAATCTTCCCATGTGGCTTCTTCCATGGGAAATTCTTCCCACTCGACCAAAACTTCCATCGATAGCGTCATGCTTTCTTCAGATGGTGATATTCGATCGCACGGCTCGGTCGCGCGATGACCCGCCCATCCGGCGCGGTCGCGGGTAGCTCCTCGCACCATTTGTGCGCTTCCCTTAGACTTCTCTTGAGCTGTGAGACGTGTATGACTGGGTGTATGTGCGAGCTCTCCGGCAGCTCAAGTCAGCAGGCCACTTGGCCTATGCGCTTCAAAATTTGGTAAGGCCCGTAGTAGCGGACTTCGAGCTTGGTCGGGGCTTTCTGCGCTGTAGTGCGCTGCCTGAATGGCCTGAGCTTCAAGTACACGAAGTCATCAGGCTCGAAGCTTTCTTCTCGAGGCTTGCCATCGTGAAAGGCCTTTATTCTGTTAATTGATCCCTCGAGGTTCTTTTTTAGTTCCCACAACATCAAATCATACTCCATTAGTTCTCGGCCCACCTCATCGTTGATTGCGCTTCCCTCCGAGTAGGTCATAAGCGTAAGCAGCTTTTGACCATACACGAGCTCAAAGGGCGAGGTCTTGGTCGATCCGTGATAACGGGTGTTGTACCAATACACGGCCCAAGGTAGAAAATTTTCCCACTTCGTCGGGAA